GCCTAAATGAAATTAGACTCAAACAAGAGATGAAGTACTTGTAAGTTTATTGCTGCTTTCAGAACCATAGAAACAACTTGTATTTTCAATAAGATTTCATAATGAGACAATGTGTTACTTACTGGTGCAGTTTATTTAATAATTTTTCAGAGTCAGACAGCAATTTCAACATGATTGCAGCCAAAAGGTTATAGAAGGTCAGTGCTTTTATATATAAGAAAAAATTGCCATATAATGCTAGGGTCAAAAGTTAAATCAATACTCGGGACATGTTTTTGATATCTGGAGCTCCTATCAAGCCAAAATGAAAAGAATAGGGTCATGACATGCACCATTTGATCTCTCTGCCCTGACTGTTTTTGCACAAACTCCAGATAAGTCTATGGGGGGGGGGGTATATTGCATATAGTGTATTGCAGGATCAACACTTCCTTCTATATTGCATTCAATCAATAAGAACAGATTTTTTTCAATGCCTTCATTTTTCCCTTTTTTTTTTTCTTTTTTTCTTGGCGGGATAGCAGCAAAAGAGCCAAAGCCTAAATGGTCTCTTGTGAATGAAGTGGATTGAGACAGGCCTCATCAGCATGCATGAGCAGCTCCGATAAAGTAACTACGCATATCAATCTTCTCCGGTGTGAGTGCATATTTGATTGGAACCCCGATTCTGTGCACAATTCTTCTGGCTACATACTGTACCGAACTAAGCCAAGCACGGTACAGTGACACATGCACATTATACCACAGAATCACATGCATGGCAATGAGCACTCTGTCAAACTATCGGTGCATTCTGACGGCCGCTCTCGTGTCTCACCATTAGTTTTAGTGAGAGATGTCCTGTCTCTTGAACAAAAACAAACATGGCGGGCGGTGACAAATCAATTAATCAGTCTGGGCATTTGCCGATAGTTATGTTTCACTTAGGACTAATGCTCATCGAATGTTTCAGAAAGTTTCCAATAATGCATAGACAACACTTTCAATCAGCATCCTCGGGCGCCGCGGTGATCAATGAATTGTCACAGTCAGATAGATTGGTGTCCGGGCAGCGGCTGCTATGAGTGATGAGAAGGCTCTACACCAACTGACAAAAATGGAGCTATGACGCAGGGAGAGGGCTGCAGTGACATGCGGAGTTTTACATGTCATTCATTTTATTTTAACAGTTTGAATTTATTTAATGTTTTTTTTGCTCAGTTATTATTACACATTAAAGGTGTACTGTGTCACATTTCTGTTGTCATGGTGATGTTATTGCTTTGCCTGGAATGTTCTGCAAGTAAAGAATTACAGTAAACTTATCTATGTGATAGATATAGTTGAATATCCAAGGAATGTCAATGCTGGTGGCGGATCCTCCTCCAGAAAAGTTATGTAGTGCAACCATAACATTTCTATAATAATTTAAAAAATACAGATGGTACACATAGTTTTTAGTAGTGCACAAATTTTCGTACTGCAGCCACAATATTCATGAGTTACAGACTGATATAACAACTGTTGCCATAGTAACAGTTCAAAACTAATTTTTTGACTGGTCCTGAAAACGGTGCCTATAAACAGAAAATGAAACTCATGAATATATTTGAAGGCACCTCATTATAATGTAAAGTGGAGATTCCTTCTAATGATATGATTATAGATTGTTTTATCTGGCTGTATTTGAGAACAAAAGTGTGTGACTTGCTCAAACCAGTTAGATTCCCTTGTTGTGGTCCAGTTTAAACTTTCAAAATATTTTCCCAGCCGTATTTCCGTAGCTTGTTTGCATGTGCCTTGCTTACCTTCTTTGTAGTTGTTGTTGTTGCTGTGGGATCCTCCTGGCTGGGTGTACTCCTCTGTAGTGTAATAACGTGGAAACTGTTGCGTTGTTTGCATCATTCATTGGTTTTGCTTCTCTTTGCTCTTGTTAAAACCCACCTTCCTCTCCCGTGGCTAGCTGTCAGTCAACTGGAATAGTAGCTATATAGCCCTTTTCAAAATTCCCAGAGTTTTACTATTTTTTATTTCCTTAATGCCACCATTTCTACTTGACCTGTTTACTGACTTGATAATTCCCAGTTGCACTTTTTGACACTTTTACCACATTTACCTTGCTTTGAATCTGCATGTCCTGTGGCATCTCTCTCTCTCTCCCTTCTCGGTTTGGATCTCGGTTCTTCCTTTCTTCTCGTAGCCTCTCTCCGCTCTCTGCCTCAGTTGAACAGACAGTAGAAGGAGCACAGGGCGCCTCAGGCAAGAGCAGACAGAGGAGGCGCACTGTCCAACCTCCCCCTCTCTGGAGAGCCAAACCAGTGCAGACACGCCAATAAGCTGTAAGCACACAATTATTCACCATTTATATCAGCTCTGTGTCTGCACGAGTTAGCGCTGCACACCTCTGGGTCTGCTCCATGTGGTTTGTACAGCACAGCACGCTCATCTCATTGGAGGAGCTGTAAGGTTTGCTAGTTATTGCCTCTCATGTATATACACAGTCTTTTATTTTTTATTTCAATTACTTCTTCTAGCAAATTATGATTTTAAAATAATCCCATTTTAATACTTAATATATTTTTTTATTTTACCTTTATTTAATCAGGAGGTCCCATTGAGATTCAGAATTTTTCAAGAGAGACCTGGCCAACACAATCAATACAAAGATACAAAATGTCACATTATAAACCATTTGCATGTCTCAAGAAAAACAAACACATCTCTTGGTCACTTTTTACAATTTTCTTATACTTATCAAGTGACACTGTAGATTCCAATTAAGATCCACACTCAAAGTTTGACGTTAGTTTTACAGGCTATAAACTGATCATGCTTACACTTTTTGCTTGTTTGTTTGTGTGTATGTATGTGTACAATGAGTAGGACAAAAGTATTAAGTACTGATAGGTGTTAAGTATTGATAATAAGTAATGTTTGGTTCCATTTAAATGCTAAAATTCTTACCACATCAAACTTAAATTAAACATTATATAGTTCATGTAAAGCCTGCAGCTGCACATTGGTCATGGTATTTATTTTTCTTGTGCTTTAACTTTTTATGACTTGCTTGTACTGTTATTCATGTTTACTATTTTTCGGTAAATGAGGCACATAAAGTCACCAGCATTTTCCCCAAAACTCTTTACTTTTCATCTTGGCAGTTTCTTAGAAATGCCATTTTGTGTTTTTGTCTACTTAATATATAGCCTGAAAGTATATTAACACAAAATGATTGACTGAGCCGTTCCTCAAAACATGAAGACAACATCAAACTCACAAGTGAATCAACTTTGTCACTTTTAACGACTCTTTTGACAAATACTTTATATGCACATTATTCAGTTTCTTATATTTTACCAGTATTCGTATTTTTCATGGTGGGTACCATATTTCCTATTTCTTTCTTTGAACTGCCTCTTGGATGAGGAAGTAAGGTATTCAAACATACAAATGACAGTGGACAGGCAGACTCACCGCGGCCCCAAACCTTAGAGCTGTTTTACACTTGTCCCACATACGGAAACGTGCAGAGACACAATCACATCGTGTTCCTCTTTTTTGACATGTATTTCCTGTGAGTGAATGTGCTTGGCTCCGTGGTGTGCGCTGCAGTCTAAGGTGACCAGGCAGCCCACTCCTCCATGTGTCCAATGGCTCAAAACAGTTGTAGAACATGGTGCAGATTTGTTGTTGTAAATCAATGCTAATCCCATCACTATGTTCCATACCCCGGCAGATTTCTTAGGAGGTTAGACAGGCCTCTGTACCCTCACACCTCCCCCTCCTCTTTGGTACGGTTCGTCTCAGTGGAGAAGCAGGTCAAGCCATCTGCGGCTGCAGTAGCATGCATGCTAGCACAGGGTCAGTCTTGTGGATGTGTACACAACACAGCTGCTGCACTTCGCTTTCATCATGCTTTGAAGTACTAAATGTAATAAAATTATTGTGTAAAAACTGCTTAGTGGTTTCCTACTATTTTGTCTCAGCAATGAGCATTTTACCAGTAGATAAGTGGATGATTCAAACATTCTTCTACATGAAAAACTTGTCTTATAAAGAAAAATAAAAATGTTTTATAATTAACCATTATAATAAATGTACATGTTATTCCTTCTTCAGCAGTCTAGTTTTAGGAGCCCTTGTAAAAAGAAATGAACCAGGATATTAAAAAGGTGCACTGCACACCTGATCTTTAATATGCCATAATAAATAGTTTATTGAATTTCTGTTCTCATTTTATTGCGCCTGTTCAATTGTTCATTTTAATGACAATAGTATTCTATTATTAGCATGTGCTATTAGGAATAACACATTTTAATGTCAGCTTCTACAGAATCTGTACTATCTGTAGTTGCGGTTTCTTTACAACAATCTCACAAATGCATCTGCAACAGCACCATGTATGTTTTGAATGTGAATTCAAAAAATTTTCATACTGTCAATACTGAAGCCAAAATCCTGTTTGTGTGGAAGATTCACACTGACCGTATTGTCCTGTATGTATTGTACTGCATATCAGCAAGAGAAGAAAGCTTTTTTGTGCAACATGTAAAACGTTTCACTTATTTTTGCACCACAGTTTTCATACAAAGATGCAATCAAATAATAATGTTGATGCAGAAATGAGTACAGATGTTAAACAAACCGCAAAATTTGTATCCAAACTTGACTTTTGTTAGGCTATATCTTTGACCCGATGTCCCGAGGTGAGCCTGAGGTGAGCCCTGTGGCATTTGTCTTTCTTTTTGAATGTCTCACTTCCCAAACGCAGAAAAGAATCCAGTGGCAGATGATGTCAGATGAGGACATAGAGATTCTCAGGTATCTGCTCTGGGAACTCATTGCATCATCTATTTGGAGCAGTACAGTCAAACATTTACTGTATTCGGTGTGATGTGGAGACTGAAGGCTAAGTGATGCAAACTGTATGATGTTACCGGCAGAATCGTCATATTAAATATACAATGTATTCTGGCCCTGTCTCTGGCCTGTCCTCATGGCTACCTGTGTCTGTGTTTCAGCCCCTGCCAATGCCCAGATCGTGCACTCAGGCGCAGCTTGTAATGTCAAGGATGATAACATCAGTGAGAGGATCTACACCATCAAAGAAGGAGACACACTAGTGCTGCAGTGCATAGTCAAAGGACACCCGCGGCCACAGGTGAGCTCAGGCCTGCCACCTACATGCACCAATACACAGCCACAAATGAAGAAAAGACATCCTTCCCTTCCTGAAGTACAATCTTTACAACTACACTTCACACATTTTTTTTTTTTGTTTTTGCATGATTTTTGATTTTTTCTTTTTTTAATTAGATTTGCAGCCAGAAGCATTGAGAGAAGACTAAATCACATGCATTTCAAAACATGTTTGTAAAGGTCTAAACTACAGGTACAACAATATTATTTACATATATAGACAGGATATTTTGTTCTTTGAGGAGAACGTTCTATTATTTTAATTATTGCAGCTTGAAATTGTCAGTCCTAATATCTACCAGTATTTCAAGCTTAAACTCTCTTGCGTGCACCTCTAAACCTGGATAAATATGTTGAAATGTGTGTAAATGGAATAGATACTGCATGTTTGTGGTACAGTGGTCCCTCGTTTATCACGGGGGTTACGTTCTAAAAATAACCCACAATGGATGAAATTTGCGTAGTAGAAGTCAACTTTATATTTTACAATGATTATATCTGTTTTAAGGCTGTAAAACCTCTCACCACACACTTTATACACTTTTCTCACACAGGACAGTTACAACTCTTTTTGCATCCTTCTCAAAACTTATTGCTGTTCCTTTTGTTATTTTCTTCCTTTATGTAATGAGCTGAAGATTCATTTATTCTGTAATGGCACCCTAGAGCGCAGAGACCCGCACAGGTCCATTTTTAGAGACCCGCAACCGCGCAGCACCGCATCCACCCATTAACCTGAGATAATATCAAATTTTTATGCTGCATACACCACGGACTGAACCAAGACTAAACCAGGAACTAAACCCAAGATTAATTTAGGACTGATTCCAGGACTGAAGAGGAGGACTAAACCAGGACTGAACTAGGACTAAAACGGGACTAAAACAGAAGTAAACAAGACTAAACCAGGAATAAACCAGAATTGAAACACGACTCACTGTCAGGACGGGCTTGGAGGTGATCGCAGGAGAAAGGACTGGCTCAGCTCCGCACCTCACGAAAGGTAAACGCGGCCGTCGCCCAGTCGCGCTTTGCGGACACCCTGCTTTGGTGTTTTCTCTCTTAAGTCCAAGATTAGTCCTGGTTTAGTCTTGATCCGCCCGTGTGTAATCACTACCCGCCAGCATACCTGCCCCTAAAAATCCAGAATGTTAAAACCTGCCCATTTCAGCAACTATTTGCCCATACCAGACCCGGTGCAGGACTCTGCTACAGCCGCGTAACTTCTACCTTCTTTCAGCGTGTCCCAAAGTCCAACTTTTTGTGTGATGGTTTGCATCTTCTGCTGCCTTTTGGGTGCGACCGCAGGAGCCTTTGTCGGTGCATGTTTGTTGACATTGTGGGTTTTGTCGGGGAGAAAACTTGCAAACATACAGCACTTCAGAATCACACTGCTAGATTGAACATTTATGTAAATTTGGCAAACTGAACACATTCTGTACTATACAGGAGACACGGCAGGGAGGTGATTGACTGACAAATGGTCTACAGCCCCTTAGCCAATCAGGACGCAGGGGGAGGAACACAATGAGCGTTCATACACTGTAAAAAAAGCATGAAAAATTGCACCCAAAAAAAATCCACGAAACAGCGAGAAGTGTGATATAGCGAGGGACGACTGTACTGTGCTCTATGGCCAATTCTCTCTATAGTGTCCATGGAGGCTGTGTATACTATGCTGTACCTGTGAGTAGATTATATACAGTATAAAGTCAATAAGGTGCAGTTTATGGCGATGTAAGAGGCAGAGACGATAAAGAATCAACAGAAATAGCAGGAATTAGAAATCCCATAGAATCAATGTGTTTTGATGAGAGTGGCTGATTGATGCCTGTTGGCTCATCTCCCATAGATTATGGCTGCTGCTGTCAGATAGCTCCTCTGTTTTTAATCCTCTCTCACCTCCATGGTAAAGCCGCAGGACCTGACACATGACTGGTGCTGTTATAATGCATGAACACCTTTTTAAATTTGACAAAACGAAGTGTTACTCTCAGACACACATCACACAGAAGAATGGTGGAGGTATGTGCATGTTGTATGTTGGGCTTCATGGACTGTGAGCTGTGCTTCATTCACAGGTCATTAGTTCTGTTTGTGGCTGATTTCACTGTGCAGTCTCAGTCATCTATTTGTCAAGGAAGCTACATCAATACTGGGTTTTCATTAATGCAAGTTTTGTGTTAGACACTTCATAGGCAAGGAGTTATATTTATTATCAATTTGCAAATGAGTGGACTCTGAGATTATGAAGTGTGATGAGCTGATGAAGGCCCTATTCTGTAAAAGGGAAAGGGACTAAACATTCAGGATTGTTAAAATGTGAGTAAATTAAAACAAAACACAACTCCAGGTATGTTTGCGATGAGGTACATTATAAAATAGTTTAAAGGGAAACATGCAGTAAGACAGTAAAAGGCAGTTTCATAATGTGGCCGCTTTAAGAAATGGATTCTTGGCTCTTGTGTCTGTCTGTCTGATGTAAAATGAACTGAGGAGCTTGACAGAGTGGGTGTGTAGTTGTGTGTGTATTTGTGTAACCGTGTGTGAGGTGAGAAAAGCAGTGTTCGTGGCGGGAGCATGTCCACTGGCATCATGTCAACATGAATAAAACAGTGCTACAATGTCTGGAGCCCTCAGCTTTATGGCTATATTGACAATTGTTGTTTTGAATCTTTTTTTTTCTCATCCATTTTGATTAGAACGAATGACCTGACCTGACTATAACTTATACTAGACTCAGACACTCTAAAAATAGAAAGCAAACGGTTCATTTATTTGTTTGCAGTGTTAAAGACAAACTCGCTGTTTTTGTCCAGAATAACAAGGATGTTCAATGCTTGCTTGTTCAGTGGCAGTATATATTTTAAACTATAATAACAATATCACAATACATTAGTGGAGAATGTAAAACAAATGTTCATAAATGGCTTAAAGTGCCTCAGGCCAAACGCGCTCCTTCTGATGCTCCTCTTGAGTCGCTGTTCTATAGATGTAACATGACATCAAAATATGGCTTCAAGTAAATACCATTAACACATTATTTATGCATTACTTACCTACTGTATGTGTATTTTCATTTGGCGCAGTAAACTTACCAAATGTTCTGTTATTTTAGTTTGATCACTGAACTTTTGGTTTCACGCCACATTCCTGATTTATCCCAGTGAGCTGTCATTACCAGTATGAGAACAGATGGACCTTGTAGAGAGGTTAACATGGAAAACATGTATAAAATATTATATACTACATATTAAGTGAAACAAAACAAATAAAAAACAGCACAATCCATACATTTATGGTATTTTGAAATAAGATATTTAGCTAATGGCCAAAGTGATGTTAGCAATAACAGGTTTTACAACAGTGAAAGCTGGTTTAATGGGTTCCAAGAATGCCATCCACTATCCTACGCAATTATATCATACACCTGAAACCAAGGTGTCAAATTAGTACATTTTCCTATAGGATCCTCCCATTTGATGATTTATTATACTCCAAACCTATAGTAAGAGTGAGAGAAGAGTGAGCTGTGACCTCTGTGTGAGTCTGTGGGGCTGAGGCTGGCTGCAGTGGAGTGCTCTGGTCTCATTGGGAGGACTGAGTTTCCACTGTGCTTCATAGCAGTATTGATAACCTGATCTGAGTGCCCACATCTCACCCTCCACTTCGGCACATATACCTCCTTTCCGTCATTCAGGCTTTTCACAAGGGCAAATTTGAGTCTAGCAGCATTGAAAACACCTAAACGGGTGTGGGATCTTTCCCCTCCCTACAACATGGTAATGCCAGGAGTGATAAGATGTCTGTAATATATGTTTGAAATAATAAATGTTGAGATTTCATACATATATGAAATATATGTCATATATGTATGGCATATATTGTCAGACATGTGTGGCTTAAAATGAAAAAGTGAGTCTGGTTTGTCAGCGTAGTCTAACCCAGTCTAAAAATAGAGTATACACTTTGGTAGTCCACTTTGGCAGAGGAACTTAAAGAGAAAGAACCAGTTTCATTGCATTGCGTTGTGATTACATTAACTACTTCATTGCAGATTTTTGATGAAATTTTGATGGAATTGTGCCAGTTTAACAAAGTTTGAAACATTGTGCTCATTTGAGCCTTCTAATATATTCAGTTAGGAGACAAACTTAACTTTGTCTTATTTTCCTCCCTGTCAGAGAACTTTCTATTGGCCTGGAGGTGTTGGCATGCACTCTGGAGGTTTAGTCTTCTGCTGCTGCCTTATTATTTATACATGTACTCCAGTTTGGCACCAGTGTCCTCGTAACACTCAATCTACCCATCACACACACAATACAAGCTCCTATGTGTAGATGTTTTATTACAGATATTGATTAACACACAGAGTCTTAAAAAATTCACAGTCTCATTCTCTATGAACGACGTTAACACACATTTTAATCTGTGTCTAGTTTGCATCAGAAGTGAGTTGTCCTACATTGGGTCTATATAAGATCATAGGAATACAATGGATGAGTTGTGAATGGCAGTGATTTTTTGTATTCTAGATTGGCATCAAAGACATTTCTAGTGTATGTGACTTTTTAATGTAATGTTTCAAAAGTTTAATGTGTGCCTCCCAAACCAATTTATCCCTGGGAAGCCAGACACATAAATAACAGCTTTAGCCAAAATGTGTCTGAGTGAGGATTGGTCCGATTCTTTATAAAGACTGATTGTTTACCTTTGGTCACTGTGATTGGATTGGAGGAAGCTCTGACACTGACTCATCTATAGGGATAATATATTTTCTTTCTACTAAATATTTCATATATTATATGATATACCTTGGCCATATTTAACTAAGTTCTCAACAAAGGTGCACTACATCGCAAGTGTTCAAGTTTTTCTTTCAAGCTTGAACTGCAATAAACAATTCACAAATAACTGATCCAGTGTTGTCTGATTTTGAAATTGGAAATAAATAAAAATAGT